CTCGGCAGGCTGGAGAGCAGCCACGCGTTCGGCCACCGCGTGACGTTCGCCAATGTGGATGCAGCTTCCCTGCCGCCTTTCATAACTTCTCGTTTCGCTGGGGTGACGGTGGGGCAGTTTAAAGTCTCCTCAGCGACGCGGATTTCCGTGGAGCCCTCCTCCGCTGTCCCAATGCTCTACAGCGCCAGGCTTCGGTTCCCCGTTTACGATGTCGGCAGCGACAGGGCCCGCCCCGAAGACAAGCACGCGTCGGATGGCAGCGCCCTCCTGCTCATCCCACACGGCGGGATGTTCCGGGGCGGGCCGTTCCGCAAGTTTAAGGCGTGGGTCGCGTGCGGCAACGGTGACAGTCCCGACGCCGGACGCGTGGAGCTCGCCATCAGGGAATCCGCTCCCGACGACTTCGTCGCTCAGCTACAAGCAGCGGCCGATAGCAGCACGCCCCTTTACGTGTATGGTGCCAAGATCAGCCCCTCCAATAGCAAAGCTTATATGAATAGCGTCTTCCTCAGCGGCTCGCTTGTAGCAGCAGCGAGTGCCCCCGGCAAGCGCCCTCCCAAACGAGTGCACACCTTCCAGGCGGCTGTTCAGCGGACTACCGCGGCCACCGTGCCCGCCGACACGACTGATATGGTATTGGCTTGGGAGCAGCGTAGCCGCAGTGCCCTTGTTTTACCGTCGGATGGTCCACACGCCTCGGCCACCCTGTCACCCAACCCCACTTCTGTCACTGTAGTCGGCTCACTACCGGTCCTCCCGCTCGTCCTCACAATCGGCAGCCGCAGTTATCCGGTGTGCACCGACAGCATCGCCGTCATGCAACAGTTGCCGAACTACGACGAGTTCTTCGGCAGCACCAGCTTCGCAGACGATAATGATCGTATGGCGTACGCTGCTTACGACTCGTTCACCATCACCGGTACCATCACCACCAAGACAGAAGGTCGAACAACATTCATCACGGCTCTGCAGGAATGACTCGTTCTTGCGTGTTCATCCACTTGCGCTGCCGTCCGCTGCACGTCGTCCAACTTCGCTATGGCTTGCACCTGTCCCCTCCCTTCACTTCCATCTAGCCGCCCCTGGATGGCGTTAAATGCCAGCGTTGAGCGGCTGTCTAGCCGCGCAACGACACGCTTGCAGGGCTGGGTGCATTCCGTGCACTTGTGAGTTCGACTCCCACACAAGTTGGCGGCGTCCCTCGCATCTACACTGGTGAGTGTATGAACGGTATGACCGGTTTCGCTGGTATAAGTTAGGGTGTTGACGCACGAATGCTGTACCGGTTTGACATTCGTGCGTGTCTCATTCGTATCCAC